AAAAAAACCTTGACTGTGCTTCATATATTTTTTTCCCTGTAATTTAGTCTTCAACAATCATCTAATTTTACTTTAAATAACTAAGTTCTCATTTTTATTTTTTACAGTAAACAAGAATTTGTTTTATTATTCCTAACTAATTTTAGTTTTTATCTTAATTAGTACTTTTGTCCTTTAGGATAAACTATTATGACATAAAAATGATCAAATCTTTATCTCTATGTATTAAATTGTTTTTTATATTTGTATTAAAAAGTCAGATAATTTAAATGATAATAAGGAAAAAAAACTTAGAATTAATCAAGACATATTGAAAAAATAAGATATCAAATTAATTTATCTGAATAATATTTTAATTTTTGTAGAATTTACTGATTAACTATTAAATAATTGACTTTATTTTTTAAAAATTATTAATTTTTAGGTGATGGTGTCCCAGTTGATTTCAAACGTGTTTAYTTCAATGTAACTGCTAATTACCCATGTCTCGATGAATGTACATTAGATTCTGAAGAAATATTGAAGATAACTGATGATGTGTTATTATCTGAGGATTTTCAAAATGTAAACACTATCTTCACAGATGAATTAAGGTAATATAAAAATTATGAGATAATTACTAAACATATTATGTATCCCATAATTAATTTATATTTTCAACAGAAATTTTGGAAAAAATTTATCAAACAATATGGCAGAAGTAAGAAAAAAATGGTTAAATTTAGAGATTTCAAAAATCCAACGAATAACTTCTACACAGCTAATAAAATTTTATGTGACTTGCCTTACGAAGTATATGGCTGCTGTAATTGAACCAGGTACAATTGTAACAATAAATAATACCTGAAATTGAATTATGAACAGTCTAAATCAATTTCATTTATATAGGAACTCCTGTAGGTGCTATAGCAGCTCAAAGTATTGGTGAACCTGGTACACAAATGACATTAAAAACATTTCATTTTGCTGGGGTTGCTTCAATGAATATTACTCAAGGTGTTCCTAGGTAAAAAATAAATTAAAATTGAGTGCTTKTATGCATCAAACAATTACTAATAATTATTCATTCAGTTTTTACTATTCACTTACTATTTGAATAATAATGTACTTTCTGGTTTATTTACTTTTTTATTTGACTTTTTTTTAAATATTTACTTTGATTAGGTTTTAATATATTATGTTTTAATCTATAAATGATATGTTATTTTTTTAGAATCAAAGAAATAATCAATTCAAGTAAAAATATAAGTACTCCTATTATCACAGCATACTTAGAAAATGATAAAGACAAAGAATTTGCAAGGATCGTCAAGGCTCGTATTGAACAAACAACACTTACTGAAGTAAAATAAAATATTAGTGAATATGTTATAAAATATCAGGTAATAATTAATATATTGTACAATTTTGTAACTTTTTTAGGTTTGTAGTTTTATTGATGTAGTACTTGATAGCACTGAATGCTATCTATTGATACACATAGATATGAACCGTATTAAATTATTACAATTAGAAGTAACAATTGAGTCAATAAGAGATAGGTAAGATATATATAGCTTATTAAAAATGTATGAATTMTTAATAGTTAGTTACATATCTATTTTTATTATGTGTTTTAATTAAATTTTGAAGTATACTTTCAACTCCTCGAATTGGTATTAAAGCAAATCAAGTAAACATCGATAATGAATCATGTGTTAGTATATCGTTGCCATCAAAAGGCACTCAATCATTAAACAATTGGATAAATATATATTCACAAAATTTACAAAAAGTTGTTATTAAGGTAYCTATTATTTAAAAAAAATGTTTATGCTTAATGTTATGATTCAATGTTATTTTAAAATTAAGGGTATAAGTGCAGTATCACGCGCTGTTATTCATGAAGAAGATGATAATGGTGAGATTCGTTATAAATTACTTGTTGAAGGTGATAATTTACGAGAAGTAATGGCAACGCCTGGAGTAATAGGGAAACGATGTACCAGCAATAATACATTTCAAGTATGGAATGCACTTGGCATAGAAGCATCTAGGTAAAATTTAATATGATGATTTTTTTTAATGTACCATACTACAATAATTGAGAAAATCTAATCAGTGTTCTCTGAATTGACACTTTTAACTAGGGTTATGAGTGTGATATGTTCACTTTGAAATATTTCAAACTTGAAACTTTCAGCCTTCTTGATATATTTCAATGAAATATTTTTTTTTTTTTATTTATTTTAGAAAAGATATAAAACATACAATCTGTAATAAATATATACTATAGGTAATTTCGATGATTTTAGATTTTTACAAAGCTTGATGTCATGATAGAAGAGGGTGTCCAGTGACACTAATTCAAACTTGATATGACTGTGGATATTTAGTTTAGTGATGATTTTTTTTTTTTTACTAACTAATGTTAATTGTCTGTCTTTAAGTATTAAGTAGGTCACATGGCCATTTTCGTTTGAGGCGGCGGATTGGGTTATCTGTGAGTGAGAGAGAGCAGATGGTTAGGATAATTAATAGTAATATTATGATATTTCTTGTAGTGGTTTGACACTATTTTGGAGATAGTTAGAATTTTTAGGTCATTATGAAGAGTGTGATTGCTGAAATACCAGGGAGAATTAGTTAAGAGTC